ATGACATGACATGACATGACATGACATGACATGACATGACATGACATACATTCATACATACATCTATATGTATATATATATATGTATATCACGAAGATGTTGGACTCTCGCCACCCCCATGTCATCGCTCACGTTACTCCCCTGTCGCCCCTCGTCCCGGCCTTCCACACCCTTGAACTTGTGGGTGATGTAGTGGTCGAGCTTCAGGCGACCAGACTGGCGATGGCACTGTGGTGCTCGGTCGCTACCGGGTCCCGAGCAGAATGCTGGGCGGCGCACGCGCGTGAAGCGCCAAGCCCAACTGAAAGGTGAGATCTGCATTTCCCTGAACACAGCGAGTCCAAAAACCAAAAAACAACGAGCAGACTGAGACCCTGAGATCTGCGCGGGCCGAAGGCGCAGATCTCAGGGTCTCAGTCAAGAAAAGGCATGTGCATCATCCCTGTCATCCCCCAGCACTTCATCCCGTGCCGGTCCCGTGCCGGTCCCGTGCCGGTCCGCCTCGTACATCTGCACCAATGAAGGCACCTCCGATCGGCCCTTCCATCCTCCGAAAGCCTCAGCATGGAGCGGTGTTCGAAGGTTTAATGGATGGGGGCGATGGGTTGGTTGAAGCATCTGAGAGGAAAGCATCTGACATGGGGCCTTCAGCCAATGGATTTCCAACTTCTCGGCCAACAGCGGTCCATAAAGGATCCCTTCAACCCTTTTTTTCTAGCGGAGTTTAGCGCAAGGTGATCTGGAGGCCGGTAGCGACCTACTTGGAACTGTCCCTAGTCATAGTCTTCACATGTCTTCACCCCATCTTAATCGCCACCCAAAGGATTCATTAAACCCCACAAGAGTCTAGGAAGTTGAGAAGTTCAGCCGTGCTGGGCTTATCGGCTTTTACGGTGATTCCCATACATAGCTTTACAATGATATATAGATGATCTATGACTATGCATCAAGTTGGATGCCCCCCCCCAAAAAAAAACGTGTACAGTATATAGTTTGTGTGTGTCTTAGTGCGTTCAGTCATGACCTCTCATGGTGCTTCCCTCCCTTCCCACCTCTCACCCGACCAGGGCGCCGTCCCGGCCCAGCGCCGTCCGGTGACGAGCTGGAAGGGTCTGGTGCTGATCTCCTGGCGACGAGCGGCTGGACTCACCACATGCTATGTGGCCAGAAACTGCCCACATGCTTAAGCCCTTGATTCTGTTGGATGATGGTCATCCACAAGTGGGAGTGTCGTGGACGAAGCTATTTGAGCCCAAATTGGGCGCCTTCACACACTTGCCATTGGCATTGCAAACATGCAGGTTGGGCACATCTAAAATTAAAGAGGAACGGCCCGAAAATGCGGAAACAATAGGAAACAAATATCACACTAGAATGCCTCATAGAAGCGTCTCACTCAACTCCATCGAGTTTATAGTGGTTTCAAGAGTAGATGGCACCAGACCCCCCAAGATGTCCTGCAAATGAAGTTCCATATCCACGAAACTTGGAGGTTGTGCCATCCCCTCTCTTGAAACCACTGTATCTGTATCTGTTGAACCGACCTCGTTCCCAACATCCGGGCCTTTCCGGCCGCCGCGACGCCAATGATGCAGCTCTCGCCCCAACCACGGTGCGCGCACTCCAGCGCTGCACGCATCACCTCGCAATGCCCAGTGCCTCCAGAACCGACGCCACCACGATGCCGGCGTGGAGGCCCAGTGAAAACCGAGGAACGGGACGTGAGGAACGGGGCAGAACGGGACAGAACGGGACATGGGGTGGCCTCTTTTTTCGGAAAGCCATTGGGTTGAGGGCCCTCCAAACCCCAAAATTGGGCACGCAGCAACTGCGAGGAGGACCTCGAAAAAAAATGTGGATGACGATGGTCCGGCAGGGAACAAGACCAAACCAACGGTAGGGGGGTCATGGGTATCTTGACCATTCTTGACCTATCGCCTATCTGGGTCCACCGGTCGGTCCTCTGCTGCCATGAGGTCCGTGGGAGCCGTCCAAAGCACCGGGACCAACCACGCGCTCCAACACGAAGGAGGTCAACTGGAGAGCTCTTTGCCGGAACAATGACACAGCAAACAGGGATCGGCTTTTCATACTGACTGGTGTTTAGCAGGGAATGAGGGAATGGATCCAATAGAATCTTTATTGGGGGCTCCTTCCCTTATTCCCTACTAAGCACCAGTCAGAATAGAAAGAATGACTTCTACGTACGAAGTGCGTGCTGTGTTCGTTTGAAAGGGGTACCAAGTCCAACTAGTGGACCGCCCTTGTCGTACAGCATAGCACCAATTAATCGTGAGCTGGAGTTCATTCAGCAAGCACGACACCCACCAGTGGGCCCCCCAGGCAGGATTCAGCAAACAAAACCAAACAACCCTATCATCTTGTGAAAGAGCTTGTTAGCCGGCTTACGGAGCATCTCCGTTTCTTGGGCTGCGCTGCAAGGCACTGTGGTTTGCCAGGTTTTGGGTAATCACGGCATATCACGGCCATCGTCCCACAAAAAGGGAAGGAGGAAACATATATATGTATAACATCAATTAACTGTAGGAGAATAGATCTCCGCAGACTCTGCAACAGCAAATCTAAAAAAGAAATCCGCAGCCTTTGCTGACCTTCTCCCGTTTGCGGACAACATGCCGCAAAAGAAACGTTTGGGATTTCAACACAGCCACAGAGTTTCCCAGGGCTTGAGGGGCTCAATCGGGCCCATGATCCATGTTGCGTGTGTTTTCTTTTGATGATCCATGTTCCTCTTGGTAAAGGTTTCTGGGACCTCTGGGAAAGAGTCATTGAACAAGGCCAAGACCATACAGTACCAATCAGCACCCACCCTCGATTGTATACTCAGGCGTGCTTGGCAAGGTCAAGGATCAGTCGAAGGTGTAGTCCACACCCCACGTGGTCATGCCAACAATCACCTGGCGCCAAGAAGGCGATCAGGCGATCAGACACACCAATCAAAGCAGTGTCAACATGTGTCAACCACTACCCCTTCCAGATCCTTCCAGGTCTCATCCGCGGCTCTCTCTCTCTCTCTCTGTCTCTCACAAATCTTGAAAAAGCTCCGGCTGCTGAACCTCGGACCCAAAAAGAAAGAACCTCGCCGTGATCATCGGACCGTGGTGCGCGCGGACCGGACCGTGGTGCACGCCTGCTGGATGGGTTTGTCGAAATCCTTGGGGTTGAGACAGTCGGTGGCGCCCAACATCTTCGCGCATTCGAACTTCTTAGGGTTCCTGAAACGTGCAGATGGCCGATCCTGCTGGGCCTCTTTGAGCGCCAAACATGGGTGAAAGCCAATTGCAAAGGTTTTAGTGGGATGACATGACAATTCTTTCTCACTGTCTGGGGCATAGCAGCAACGATAGAACCAAGACGGGCAACAACAAACGATATCAAAGCCTCATGCGATCTGAACCCCGGCATATTTACCGGTGTCGTCGGTATATAACCGGTGTCGTCGGTGCAACCGGTGTACAGCAAAATGATGGACACTGGCTGCGTCAGCAATGCATTGCGTCAGAATGTTTCGCGAGTCCAACTTGCTAATGGGGTCCCATGCCCGAACCACATGCTCGGCAAGTGGTCTGTGAGGCTTGGCCTATGAGGCCTATGAGGGCTCACCCTGCCTGCCCATCTGCCATGGCCAGTCCCTTTGACTTCTTAAAAGGCTCGTGACTCGTGGGCGTAGGCATGTTGGCAGCCCAGGTTGCAAGAAAACGGAAACGCTAAATGCTCCAAATGTGATGAAATCGCAGTCAAAAATTGGGAGGTAACATGTAGGAGCACTACAGTACGCCAAGGGGCTGCCCCAAACCAATTCTCCGATTCTCGAATTCTCCAGTAGCAAGTGGCTCTAGACGGCGTCTTTTTGAGGACCCCTTCTTTGGCCCTACCTACCAGTCAGGCCGGCAATCCTGCAGTTTGAGTGGCGGAAACACCAGTATGTTTAGCTGACCTTTCTTGGGCGGCAGCGCCTTTGAGGCGGCCTTGTCTTTACCCGAGCTTTTCTCTGCTCGGGTTTTTAGTATAGGTGGACCTCGCAGGATGGAAAAAACAATCTTTGGAGACAACTGACAGCAATCTTGATGCTTCCCCACTATTGGAACTGTGGAAAGTAAAAATGAAACATCTCCTCTTCTAGGATAACTGACGCGCAGCTTTCTCGCCGCGCGGCATGTCAATGGCAAAGATCCGAGCACAGCCACGCATCTGGCAACCTGCCCAAGTGCTATGGCCACAATCTCCAACACCCTCACCAATGGATCATCCAACCATGCCAAGCATGCCAACCTTCCTCTCCTGAAAGATCTGACAGGACCAACCTCCGAACTTCGCTGACTCCAACCAAACAAACTGCTCCACCTGACTTCCTTACACAAGGCCAGCCGAATGCCAGTTTTCCACACCCCCACCGGCTTGAAAAGTAACAGTTAGTTCAAGTACCGTATTACAGGTGATATATGATGATGATGCCAATGGTTTGCCACCCCCACCGGCCCCCCCCGCCTTGGATCACCGCGAGCCCCACAGCGCCCAGCCCAAAGACCGCCGCCGACGAGCCGCCCTCGACGTCCAGCGTGTTCCACGCGGCGCCCAGGCCGGTGGCCACCCCACAGCCCAGCAGGGAGCAAACCTGCTGCGTCCGCAGCGAGCCGACGCAGCGAGCCGAAACGACGCCAACAACGGACGGCCCGGCACCTCTCCGCCCGGTGAGAGGAGACGCGGGTGAAAGTGGACACGTTCCAAAGGTCGGGGGCGACTCGCGTCGTCCGAATGGGAGAGATGCACGAATATGGGGATAGAAGGATTTGGGCGAAAGCAACTCAGCTAGCGTGAGGCTACCTTTCGTGATTGAGGAAGCCACCGGCACCATCAAAGAAGTGAACTCACTGATGCATTATGGTTTGATGATGCGGTTCCCTTGGGCAGGACTGCAGGTTTTCCAAGACCAACATTTGCTCTGCCATCCCTGTCCAAGCCGCATCCAGTGGGGCCGTCTGGGACACCTGTCACGTGGCAAAAACCGTTTTGGAGATGGCAAAACCACTGCAGTTGGCTCAGTCTCGACCGGCCCAAGTTTCTCCTGAGCAAATGGATTAGTTCGATATGAAAACCTGCAAATGTCATGTGAAACCTGGAATCTCATGGTGCTTGATGCCTTCAAGCCGCCCGCCTTGGCACAGGAAATGTCTGCCACCACAGTGTACTCGGAAAAGGTGGAGCAGCCCATGAAGTGCCTCAAAACAAAAAATCAGCATCAAGCAAAACTGATTGCAAACTCTCCCAATTCTCCAACAAATCCAATGCTCTTCGACCCAAATGTTTCGGAGCAATCTCAGGGAAATGTGCAGAATATGCACCCAAAAACAGGCTAACTGCACCTGCATCCATCTGCTGAATGCCCTGGTCCTAACAAGTTGATTATATAATTGAGTGTTGTTGGCTGCGGCTGCAGCAGGACTTGCCGCAGGGGTCACCAAAAGCAAGGATGCAAGCCTTCTTCCCTGAAGAGGGGGCCGCGAAGCAGTCCCACTGCTTCCCTGCCAGGGTGCCAGATGGTCTTGCCCTCTGAGTCTGTGAAGCGGCTTGTGCCATCCGGCATCACGCCCTTGCCTCACATAGAAGAGAAATCATACAATAATACGGCGGCCGCTGAGCCAGCTGGGTATATCTGGAACTTGCTGCTTCAACTTGTTTATGTGGGGTCATTGCGTCACTACGGTTCATCATCAAGAGCGGAGATCGATGCAAAGAAGAAGTGAAGCCACCCCCATCTTTGGCCAATGATCAGGTGGGCAAAGCGGCCGAAGCAGGAATTGTTGATATGAGGTGCTCTTATTGTATATGTCCGGCTATTGCATCGTCAGATGATTTGTGAGCCCCCTTTTGGAACCTTGTTACAGGGTGTCGTCTCTTTTTTCAGCCTCTATGGATGGCCAGTTTTTGGAGCATGTCAGCATATGAACGCAACGCTCTTATGCAATCGAAATCATTGCAAAAGTTGCAAGGCACTTCATATGCATCTCATCCAAATCAAACTCTTCGCACAAGTACAAGCAACAAGCGTCGCCTTCCCTAGTTCAATGAACTTCAATGATTGCTTTGGACGGGTTGCTCAAAAACCAAGCGCAAGAACGAGCCAGCGCAAGACAGGTGAGGTGTCAATTTCTGCATGCAAAACAGCTTGAAACTAGCCCCAGTGCCAAGAGCCCCTCAAGGCATGCATGATAGGTGCATTAGAGAAGCCAAATGGATCAAGACGGCGTCACGGAGTGGGAAGCCCCTTTGATAGGTGGCCTCCCTCTGTCCCCTTGCCCCTTGGCCAATCAGCTACATTCTAGTAGCAATGGTTCATTTTACAGCACGGCCTCCGGATGCACTACAGCCGCTGGATACACAACCTCTGTGGTCCGTCCACATGTTCACTTCTGACTTGTGACTGCGTGAGAGTCAAATACAGCACGTCCTCGTTCCACCAACTACCTGCCTTGGGTGCCACGGATTTTTGGGCACAGGTTGGTACGCTTGCCTCAGCCAAGGCGAGGCGAATGCGAGGCACGTGCTACCATGCTATCCCTGATTTGCGGGTAGAATTGATGATGAGGGAGAAGAACCACATTCTTCCCCACACAAGGTTGCAAAACAACCACTCGCTACTGCTCCTTACGTGTTCTCTTGTGCGGGAGCATCTTGGTGAGTGCTACCATGCAATAGCTCCTCTTTTTTGACCCCCTTGCTTCGGACGACTGTTCCATCAAACTATACAAATCACACCGTCTATCCGCACATTGCTATGCATGCAGCGTCCGTCACAGGCAAAGACCCCTTTCCGACCCACACTGCCTCTGGGAGGAAAGCAAAAAATGCACTCCTCGGCTAGACGCGTCCGAACAACCTCCTCACTTCTCCATGAGGGTTCCTGATGGCTGAGTCATCATGATCTAGTAAGAACCCTGTGATTGCGCCTTCAGCTTGACCAACAACAACAACGACGACGACGACGACGACGACGACAACGACAACGACAAACCAATAACATATTACTGGTAAATAAACTACCGTCCAATTGTAGGTGCATAAAGAAGCTCCGAACAGCCCCATCTTGATCGCAAACCGCCTCCAAGCCACCGGCTCCCCACACTGAGGGGTGTAGCAAGGGATCACATGGTCGCCCGGCTTCACACCTGGGCAACCGCCACTCCCTGTGGCCTTCGGACTTTTTGAATTGTTTTGGATATGTGTTTTGGAGTTAAGGCATGTTCACGTGCCCGTGGTGCGAGCTATGCTTCCCGAGTGGCCCTGCTTTATTAGCATTTTGTGTTTTTGACTTTAGCTTCCTTTGCTTGTTCCTCTGTTTTTCTCAGCTGCTTTTGCTCTTCCTCTTTCTCTTCCGCTTCCTATTGTTGTCTTCGTGTTCCTCTTCCTGTCCTCTTTCTCTTTCCTTTTTCCTCTTTCCTCTTTCCTCTTTCCTCTTTCCTCTTTCCTCTTCCTCTTCCTCTTTCTCTTGCTTCTTCTCTGCTCTGCTCTTTCTATTTCTCTCATTTATTAATTCCTTTTCCTCTTCCCGTTCTCTTCCTCAAATGAATGGAATGAATGAATGCTAGCCGTGCCTCTTACTCTCATACAGAAACGGTCTCCAATACATTTTTAGCGGGGATCGATTTTTCTATCTATTTGGTGGTCTACTGTATGTGCCCATTTTTACATGTCTGCACACATCAATAAAGCCACCTTCCACCCGGCCCCCCGAATTTGATTCCAGGAGCGGCGGCACCCCGGTTCCCGCGCCTGTGACCCCTTCGCCCACGCTCTCCACAATGCATCCAGCCTCGTGTCCTAAGATGCCTTGGTGGCGGCGCACCCGCCGAGCGGCACCCCGCACCCTTTTGACTCACAGAAACAGACTCAGGGGGGCAAAGTTTGAGAAAAAACATCCAGGCTTGGCCTAAAAGACACCCTCCTTTACAAAGGCTCATTTGTGTAAATAATAGTATTTTACAATAGCTGTCGGTTTGTGACCCATCCTTGTGAGGTTCTCTTCCTCTGTATCGGTTACTCCTTTCCCCAGTCTTTGTGTTCCAAATCTCCTACAATTGTGACAACATGCCGCCTGCATGGAGTAACTACGTCGTGCTTTATGCACTTTGCTGCCCTCAAATCTAGGTAACATGCATCCAGCACCTACAGCTACAGTCTGTAAGAAATACTGGTTCTTCTTTGTAGAGTTGCCATCCGGACAAGAGCGTATCCTTTCTCGTTTGCAAATGCTAGGATCCATCATCCTTCTTTTCAATGCGCTTTCTCTGTATAAACAATTTTAACCCTTGGTTGAACCCCCTCCTTCGCGGAACTGTCTCATGTCATCCCACATCTACCCTTATAGGAGCCAAGCCCCCTTCAGTATAAAAGCTTTCCTCTAGTGAACTTGAATCAGCTCAAAGCATTGTCCTTTCCTTGGTCTCTTCCCTCCTTTGACGCTGGCAGATGTTGCATGTTGCATACAAGTAGCTGTCAGAGCAATTGCTTTAACATATTCGCTGGACTTTAAAAAAGGACGGTGTTTTTGGAGCACCATGTGCTTTCTCTCAAGCACACCCACACACCGCGGGGGTCAAAACCGCAGCCAAGCGGCTGGGGAACAGACCTTCCGGATCTTGACCGGAGAGCCTGGGGCGTCCGAGCCAAGCAAACAAGACGAGACTTGGCTGACGTACAAAAGCCGAAAAGGAAGAGACGCACCAGTCACCAGTTACAGTTTGAGGCAACCGATGGTGACATTTCCGGAGAAACATGAACCCATGCAAATCTCACAAGCAGCCACGTGTAGATACAACCAAGACACGTGTAGATGTCGGTGTGGCAGAGAGCGTTGCTCTTCACCTGCACGACTTGGAGGGACATGAGATCTGCCGCGCTGATGACCAGCGAAAAGGATTTCACGATGGTGGTCATGTGGACCATATCAAACTACCAAAGCGTTCCGGACACATCTAAACCAGCGCGAAGTTTTGGCCAATTGCCTCGCCCAACGTCAAGAACTTTTAGAGGCCTAAGGAATGATCAGTGAGGCGTGTCACGTGACCAGCCCCAGAGGAAAAAGTTAAATCTTTAGAAAAATCACAAAAAATCCATCACCCATCGCTCCATCCAAAGTGACATCAAGTGACTCTTCTGCAACCCATCGGTTCCCGATCAATTCGTCAGTCCTCGTTGCTCCAGCGCTGGACGCTTCGCAGCCACCGGTCCCGTCATCAACGGCCGGTCACCGGCCTTCAAGCGTACCTCTCTCGGGCCAGGCACTGCCACGGTCACTTCCTGTAGCTCACAGGGCTGGAAAAAGGTTGGACGAAGATGGGGCCTCACATGCGAAGATCAGTGTCACACGTCGCCCTTTTTGGGGGCACTCTTGAGAAAGAGGCCTCTGCCTTGAGGAAATTGCGGGATTGAACAATGTTTGATCAAAGGACTTCACACGCTTTGCGTTCAGAAAGTTTTTGCGGGATTTGCCGCCCCCGATTGCTGAAAGAGGGCACAGAGGAAAAGTGACAAACATGTGTTTATGTTTCTTCTGGTTCTTCTTCTACTTCTTCTTCTTCTTCTTCGTGGTGGTGTTGGCAGTGGTGGTGACGACCATGGTGCCCCCAAATGCGGTTTGGGAGGAATGACAACGAAGGTGAACCGTATGACAACGATGGTGCATCTTCCAGCACTCCCACACTACTTGCTACTCAACCACCATCTGTATAGATAGATAGCTATATTATATAATTAATTATATATGTGTGTGCGTGTATATGTGTGTGTATGTCTCACCTCATTACAGCACACTTGAGGCCGAGGGTAGGTGACGAAAGCTAGCAGGGATGCATCCGTGTCAGTGGAGGCGAAGCATACAGCGCCGTCCAGTGACAAAGGACTGGTGGGACATCAAGCGGAGTGAGGCAAATCTGTTTTCATATGCATGGGGCTGTTGGAGGGACGGTTCACACGGTCTCGCTCATGAGGTAAAACGTTGTGAACATGTAAGACACACGAACAGCAATGACACAGCCAACCTTAGCTTGTGAATCTGTTGAATCTGTTGCATCGTATCCCAAAACCTCCACGGAGGAGTTGAACCAAAGTGGATGCCATAAGAGGTGTCCAAGAGGTGTCCAAGAGGTGTCCCAGGGGGGAGTTGAACCCGCGGGGGGGGGGGGGGGGGGGGGGAGGGGGGGGCCCTCTACATATGAAGTTTTCACGTGATGCGGCGATCTCGAGGATTCCAGCCCCTCACTTGCTAAAGCAAGGAAAACTCCAGCTAGCTGGTGCTAGCTTTCGTGACTTCCAATGCCCAAATCCCCAGAAAGTCGAGGAGCGGAATACCTTCAGTATAATCCCCCATCACACATGCGGCCCGTGAGGTCCGGTGATCTATCTCAGCCAAGCCGCCTCAATCTTCAAGTCATTCACACCTCTTGCCACAGCCGCCTGGTGTGATGGCAGGCGTCCGAGCCGGACCAACTCTCCTCCCGGCCCACTGAAACCGCCCTTCAATGCCGCGCCCGGCAAAAGTCTTCGACCGAGCCTCGCTGTGCTTCAACAAGCACAGACCGACACAGACCCACGTCTTATGGTGCGATTCGAGTCCAACTCCCTGAGGCTTTTGAATCTTTTGACAAAGCTCCCATGATGCCCAGGATCGTTTTCCTCCTTTCCACCCCGGGTCGTTTTTCCTCATTTCCCTGCCTTGCACTTAATTGGCTGGCCCGCTGTCTCGAACGCCACACGTTCGAAGGCCTTGGGCCATGGCTTTCAGGCTTGACCCGGTGAGTTTCATGCCTCAATCATATCTTTCCAAGCTTCGTCTGGGTGATACAGCACTCTTGGATGCATCCCTTCTTGGAAATGACGCCTGCTATCCTTCCATCATTCCAGAATCTAGGTGAAACGTTGAGACTACTGGGTGTCTATGTCGGCCTTCGCTCACCTTCGCTGGCACAGTCCCTCCCTCGCTTCGCGCTCAATCTGCTCAAGGCACCGCCATTGGCACCAAGGTGTTCTTGCGCGAGCACGGGCGGGGGCTCGGACGGTTTGGAAAGCTGCGAGCCAGGGCCAGGGCGGAGCGGCGCAGAGACCAATGCGTCCAGAAAGTGAAACCAAAACAGGAGCAGCAGATCAACATGTTCAAATACTGGCACATCTGATTTGGAGCCAAAGTCCGCATCATGTTGGTACGACTCTTCTAAAGAGGCACTTTTGGTTTGCCATTGTCCTTCGTCTTCCCACCCACCCTTCACTGGCTTTTCGACTGCGGCTGGTGTCTGTGCAGTCTAGACCCAATGGTGGGGCCAGGTCAGCGCACACCCAGCAGACTGACAAATGCCACATCATCGGTGCAAAGATGAACCAAACGCAAAAATCGTCTGTCGGAGATGCTTGAGAAGGACCTTGAGTGGTACCAAAGTTAGGTAACTTGCTGAACATGACCTGGGCCCCACCTGGGCCCTCACCCACCGACCTTCCGCCTCTTGGAAGTCTTGGCACTTGGCCGCTTCGCCGGCCCAGCCCATCTCATCGCCCTCTTCCGGGACGAGCCCGGGCTCGGCTCCCAGCCACGCGCACGGAGCCACTGAGCAAAGTCGCGGGCACGAGCCACCAGGTATTCCAAGCCTTCCAGCTCCTGGACCGAGCCCATCGCGTCCCAGAACGTCCAAAAAACGAAGAATCCATCGAATCGTCGGAACAGGTTCATCTTCATGTTCCCCACACGACCCTGCCGGACCCTTCGAAGCCCCCCCCATCCGCTCCTCCAAGAGCTTCCACGGAAGCCCTCCCCGCTCCCCACAGCGGAGCCCCCCTGGCGCGGCCGCCGCGGTTACCGCCAGCGTCAGCGCCGCCACGGAGTCCACGTCGCCGCCGAGGTGCACCGAGGCCAGCAGTGCGTCCCGGCAGCCACGGGCGAAGCGCAAGAGGTACCTGGGCCATCCGACCGTCCCAAGCGAGTCGCGCGTCCGCATCCAAGGGACGCACCAATTGAGTGGAAGAAAAACAGGGCCGCTGCCGCAGGATGCACATGAGCAAAATCCGGCCATCCTCACCCATTTCTTCTCTCATACCCAGTCGTTTGGCCAGCTGCTTGCCGTCGGCATCACAAACACCGCCACCAAGCAAAAACTCAGGGGCCGCCAGCCTCCAAAAATAATAGATACAGTCTACAGTATATATATTTTATATATTCATCGTCAAAAAGCTAAACAATTTAAATCCGCCGGCCCTTGGGCGCCGGCGTGTTTTACCAATGTGGCTTGTATGTAGCTTAAGTTATGTTGAATCTATATGTAATAAGAAAAGTGTCTCTGGAGCAAGTTTTTGCCTCGTCCAACTTGACCCCCCCCTCCCCCCGCCCCCGCCCCCCCCAAGAACATCCCAAATGTATGTAGCTCACATATATCATAGCTAAAGTGAAAGGTTGTGTGCGCTTCCTTCTTATCGTCGTTCTTCTCTTGTCGTTGTCCATGCATGCGCTTCTGCTTTGCATGCGTTTGTCTCAGGCTTTGCACCTGCACTCACGTATCCATCGTTTTTTGCAGACTCAGACTGCTTGGAAATCCCCATGCCACACATGTCCTCATTACTCTCTTGTATCACGTCTGACGGAATGCTATGTACGTTTGCTGCTTCGCACGGTCTACTTCGCTCACTGTGTCACATATCATATAATTTGTCTTCTTGCTTGGCAGGCTATACTTTGCATCCCCCAGTTTCATCTCCCTGTTCTCTTATTGCATCATAATGCACGTCATTTCATGTAGGCTCCTCTCTTGCTCCAGCTGTGTTCTGGATGATGCTGTTACTTTTTGTGCTCTGTTGCAGTCTTTCCTCTTGACGCAGAAGGTAATCCGCATCTTGGGACCATTGGCTGAAAAGGCCGGCGGAACAACCCGCAGGGTGTAGATAGAACTACAGTAAAAGAATCATGTTTGAAAGAAAAAAGCAAACATGCCCAACCCGATCCCTGAGCTCTTCATCAAAACATCCTCCCTCCCCCACTCGCTTCCAGCTGCAGGACGGCGCCGGCCGTGCGCATCGCATCGCTACCCACGCCGTGCACCGGGTCCAGACCCTGAGCACCACCCCGACAGTGTGCCAGTTGTGGGTTTGGCCTTGGAACAGCGCCAGTTCTGTGTCTGCACCGGTGGTGTTCTTCTCCCAGAAAAGAATCCCCCTCCTAAGCAAGTGAGGGACCCGGTTGTTCTCAAGGATGGCTTATGGCTTATGTCTCTCACTTGGATCTGGGTGGAGATGGCGCGACTTCATTAATGTTCCAAGGTCTGGACGGTGGAGATCTGCCAAGGTGTGGACGGTGGAGAGGGATTAAACATGAATCAGACCGTGTATTGACTGCTCGATCAACAATGGGAAATGGTTGATTGATTGGCCACAAAAATTGTATGCACTTGCATAGCGGCTATATCCAAGCAGCTGAGGGCCACAAAGCACCTCGTGCACCTCAGGAAACACATCTGCGTTCACAAGTCGTGACCCTGGATCCTCGTCCCCTTGGGGGGGACGAGTAGAGACCTCAAGTGGACCACCAAGTTCCAAAAAACTCAGCACAACCTCAAGGTTCCATGCAACGATCATCGGTTGCACTCGAATCGCTGCTGATAGAATGCATGAGCAACAGCGCAAACGATGTATGAGCCAGGCGCTTCTTCCAACCCACCCTACTGTCCAATTCTTGTTTCTAGCAACCTCGAAGTAAGGATCCATAAAGAGTTTGGGCCTAGGGACATTGAAAGTCATGGAGGATGCCTCTTCAAGTCTTGCCCCGCCTTTCCAGGCATCTTCCGCAGGTGAAGCCCAAATTCATGGAAGTCTGGGAGCCTCTTCACCGCCTCGCGAGTGAAAACGGAAGAAAAGCAAAGCAACAATGCACCATTGCTAAGATTCCCTCTTTCATCCGGTGCATGAAGGATGCTCCCGTGGATTCGCACAAAACGACCCCCAAAACGTCGTTTTCTGATCAAACCTCCTAGGTCCAAAAGACAAAGCCGAGCGAAGGAGCCAAACAGTGCCAAACTTGCAAAAACTAATCAAAGCCAGGTTGCTGCCTGACCCTGACCTTCAACGATCTCTTCAAGCAAAGGCCTTTAACAAATTGCCCTTCACCAATTTGGAGCACCACAAGCACAGGTCCATCCAAGTGCCTTTGAAGTTCCATCTGAAATACTGAAATGTTCTTCAACAGTCACAAGTGACAGGAGGATTGCCCCCTGGAGATAAACAAAGAAAAAAGCAGAACAAGCATCTCTGGCCTCCAAATATTCCTCTGTGGCCTCATGGCTCAGGGATGAGCCCCTCAACCGCTCGAGGCACCAATCGAAGATCTCGTCGCGGGCGCCCTTCTCAACGATGAGATATCCTCAGCTTCAGCGAAAGGTCGACGAGCCAGGCTCGCCACTGGGGGCCCAGTGGAGGGAGAAATTGGACGACCAAAACCCGTTCCAATTCTCTAGCGTTTTCCTTTGGTCTTGGGATCCTCCGCAAGAAGAACACTTCTTAAAAAAATGTGAAAGGGCCAGGGTCACAAACCACTCGCGCTGGTGCGCTTATTATCCATCCGCCCCCGGGTTTGGTTCATCGACGTGGGTCATGGCTCCAAAAGCACATGGATGTGTTCTTCATGGGTCAAACCCGAAGACCCCTCGATTCCCTGCCGCTCCCCCGGCCGCGACACTGGCAGCCAGCGCGATCAGGTAGCTCGCCGCCCTGGCCTCGACAGGCCACTTGGTCCACCGAGCCATACAATTCTGGAGTGCGTGTGTGAAATGCCAGCTGCTGCCTAGGATGAACGGGCAGCACCCACGTCTTCATAGTTCTGAAATCCTATAAACCTACAAATCCTACAAAGGCTTCCACTGACTAAGGGTATACAGGTGGGGCTGGGCTGGGGTTCTGGATCAAACTGCATTCCGTATTGGCGAGCAGCGTGTCTTGATGACTCAATGGATTCCCGATCCCGCGCCATGCCTTGGGATGTGGATGGGTGGCATCGGCGTTCAAGGAACAAAGCCGCTCACACTCCTCGGGGCTGTGACATCCACACCTCACACTGAGGTGCTGAAACGAGCAATGGCACGAACGGACTCTCCCATCAATCCCGAGAATATGGAACACGGCAAGCTACGTGAAGAGTTGCCAAATTGGCCTGTTTGCCTGCCTGTTCGCTTGTCGCATATGATTGTTTTCTGATCCAAAGGCCTGGGACTCAGTACTTCCAGTGTTGAACAGGACACGATTCTTTGAGAACCTTCAAGGAGGCTCCTGAAAAGCCAACAGGGTCTGGTCATATGGCGGAAGGATGTGGAGAGACTCCGCAAACCACTTTTGGTGAAGTCAGTGAAGGATTAAACTCCCATGTGTGAGCATCTGATTGGACCATCCCAGCATCCTCCAGTGGTAGGAACGCCAAGGGCAGGGCTCGCATGGGCGGGGCCTCAGCAGGAGTTGTTTCACTTGGACTGCTGAAGGTTGGACCTGGCTCAATCAGCTTGTTCGATGGAAGGGAGGAGAATGCAAAGAAGATCTATACATTATATATATAGAGTTATAGCACAAGTTTCTTTTGTTGACATTGATGTGAGAAAAAAATTGTTCCACTGCCCCACTGTCCAAGGCACATTTCCCGGGTCCTCACGCATAGCCTGGCCCTTCTTTTGCTCTTCCAAGGATGTCTCCCCACGAAAGAAGGCCTGCAAAGAAAGGCACAGGCACGATCTGTAGAAGATTTATCTCACCACCCACAACAACGCAAACTCGACACTCAGCACGTCCCCCTGATTGTACAACAGGCCCTTCAATCATGCATTTTTCAAGCCTGCAACACCTACTACAAACAAATCCAAGGAGCAGGCATTGGCAGTCAGCTTTCACCAGCACTCTGCAACGTTGCAATCACGCTCATCGAACACACCTGGCAAACCACATACCACACCTTTCTGCACCAACCCAGCCTTCACTTGCTCAACACACGCTACGTTGACAACCGCTACATCTTGCTCAACGAACAATACAGATCAGCACTCCCCATCACTACACTGGCCCATCCCGAATTTTATGAACACCCAGTCGAAATAGAGCCAGTGGACGACGACCATCTACTTGGTTTCCTGATCGACCCCCTCAACAGAACAGTCACCTTTCAACTTCCCACACATCCCTGGCAGATTCGTGATCCGCAGTCAGCGGGGAGTCACAGACTACGCCTTTCAGGCTTACAGTCACGCCACCACACATTACAAAAATACACATTTCCACAGCACCTCGCACCTACCACAGCACAGCAGTTGATGCAGCTCTATATGACAAAAGGTCATTCCAAGGAACACTGCGCCGCGGCGCTGCGGCCACGAGGAAATACAGTCCTTCACTTTACATTTTCTAATTTACAAGCTCCTTTTCGACGTCTTGCCCTTCCACTATTTATCATACAGGTATTTTCTGATCCGGTCTAGTTGCGCCGATTCGGCTCTTTGTGTGTGTCCACTCCTGTTTCCAAGGACACTACCTTAGCTCTTTCTAATCTACCCTAAGACTTTGCGACCAATGTACAGCAGCAGGGGGCACGGCGGCCGTTCACCTAGCCGTGCTAACAAAGCTATGGTGTTCGGTTGGATGAGATACTGGACGCAGTATCTTGTACCTGCAATTTTTAACATTCATTCATTGATGCTAAGTCAGTTCAACGCTGTCTCATACGTTGTTTTGCAGTAAGGTGCTAATGCTCTCGGCTAATGCAGTACCTAAATGTAAAGGGCTAATGCACACCGCGAAGCAGCCTGAAATCGCGCTCCACGGAGCAACCTTCTCAAGTGTGTGTGACGCTACTAGGGGCTCCTGGCCTTACTGCTAGGAGCAAGGACGCTACTAGGGGCTCCTGGCATCGCTACTAGGAGCAAGGACGCTACTAGGGGCTCCTGGCCTTGCTACTAGGAACAAGAAGCTACTATGGGCTCCTGGCATCGCTACTAGGAGCAAGGACGCTACTAGGGGCTCCTGGCATCGCTACTAGGAGCATTCTTACTACTACTAACTACTAGTAATGCAGGTTGTCACAGTCGCTCGACTTGTTTTCGAGGGGGGCAGTCACCCCTTCAGGCCTTGATGCTCCCATGTCCTGCGCGCTCACCGTCGCTGGGTTTGGGGCGTTGCAAGGCCAAGAGCCACTCCTCTCGCCAGGCCTCCAGCAGGTCGTTTTCACCTTCAGGCCGTTTCTCGGGGAGAGATTGGCCCCTTTTCACCATCTGTTTCAATCTGGTGGCTCATCACGGTGGTTGCGGTGGTTAACCCCGGCGGTTCAACGCACACTGGTGCTTCATTAGCCTGACCCGGGATGTGAAATTCGGCAGCACCAGGATGCATCAAGCTTGACCTTTGCCGAGACGCTGAGTAGGAGTTCGAACGTTAAAATTGGGTTCGTTTGACGATATTTGGCTTTGTTCAGTGGTTGGGTTCCGAGTTTTGGAGGATTCGTCAAGTTCATCAAGAACGCCGAAATCCAAAAGAACAACCGTTTTGCGCATTTGTCCAATTCCCTTGCCAGGCAGCTGAGGTCTTGAAGGTCTTTGGCCTTCATCAATGCCTTCATCAATCCCACCGTCATCTCGCAGTCGTCAGAGTACATGCCCCTGATAAACGGGATCAACATCTTACATGGGGGAGTCTTAGCTGGGGTTGAGATCCAACAATCACATCACACCCACTTGGAAAAGGAAAGCAACTGGTTGCGGAGAGCGGCACTCCTCTTCTTGGAGGACCACTGAGGACCACATACATGTCGCGGTTTTTAAGGGCACGGCCCAAATGATCAAACTAAACAAAGCCCCTCTTACCTTGCTTCCACACCCATGACTCCATTCCCCTCTGCGCCTGATATTGTTCACCTTGTGCTCCTCTTTCATCGCCGGATTCTCCGGCCAAGCGGTGCACTTGGTCACATGCTCACGGATCCAGTGAGCATCCTGCCTCATGACGCGTTCGCGCGCGGGGCTGACCTCCACACACCGTCGTCCTGACGGTCCAGTATTCCATGGCAGGAAGCTGAATCGAGCCGATCCCGCGTCGATTGGTCGAGAAAGCTTGGGAACATTCCACCAATCAACTTTCCGGTTGTGCCAGTGTACCCGAACCCACAGACTCAGCACATACGCGCCACACTGGCCACCAGGCCCGCCAGGCTACATCTCAATGCCAAAGCCAAAGGCGTCACCTCAGCTACGCGGCCACTATCCTTTCCCACGTCTTTTGCTTGGTTTTCTTTTGGGCCTCACTAACAGACGGACTCTTCATGATAGCCACTCCAAGCTGGACCGTGCAAGTTGAAGAAACAAACCTACTAATGGCGCATCAGCGAAAAGCAAGACTCGCCGGGGTAGCCCATCCGGACAAGTATGGGCCAGCCTATCTGTATATGCCTATCCCCCACCAGGAAGGTCTAGGCTACGAGTAATGTAGACTCTTGATTAATAACCCCCGCACCTTTGAATTGACTTCTACATGTGTGTTGGACCTTCAGTGCCATGAAGCCAATGGCATCGCCCAGCAGCAGCTGCACCAGCACATTGCTTTGCTCTCCCTCCACCAGCCGCCGCCGGGCCGTTTGGGTGGCTGTTGTGGGCGCGAACTGGGGCACGTCTTCGAGCGCCATGGTGTGCTCAGCAACTGGAATGGGCTGAAGCAAGTCGTAATCGAGCGCCCTCTGGATCTGGATTTCTCATAAGAAACTGATTGGACGCGGGTGTTCAATCGAACGTTTGAAGCGGAGCATTCTTAGGCCATTCTTAGGCACTCCAGCCGACAGCAGGAAAAAAGACGTCGTCTTGATGCCTCCAAAAACATCGACTTGATGAAGGCGCTGACTCACCACCAGAATTGAATATGTGGCCGATGTGCTTCAAGTTAACCCCGACTCAAACTGGCTGCGGCTACAATGCCATGGAAAGGACGTGGACCCACCGACACACGCAGCATGCACAAGTTTGTTTCTGCCCACCATGTGCCCCCGCCCACAGGCTAACATGGATGGACCCCCAACACTTTGGAAAGGAAAAACGTCCATTTCTAGGGTTACCTGTATTGCTGCATGACCATTTGCCAGAAACTTTAGGTGTGACCTCTATTGGCAGTCCATGGCTGTTAGGAGAGTCCCACAAGCACAACTTGCTTTTCCGGGGTCCACACGTGTCTTTCGGGATGGTGTTTGGTGATCGGAAGGCCTTTGAGTCCTTTGAGGGTAAGACATATAACTCTATATATATATTGTATTTTTCCTAGGACCTTCCTTTCAGCTTGAATTTAAGCCTCAAATGTTTGGCACGAGCTAGGGTGAAACATGGTGAAACATACGTAGGAATCATGAGATCTTTGAATCCCCAACGCCGGGGCAGAACCAAAAAGGGCAAAACCTTTTGTGATGAAAAAGTGAAGAGTCTGAGTCTCTCCGACATTCTTCTTCGCTTCGTCCAGACATCCACTGCAAACCTCCCCACTATAGAAATCCTTTTCAGCCCCAGTATTTGACCATCCACCCTGCTTGCAAGGAAGTCCCTCTAATAGGCCAACATCCTGAAACCCAGTCTCATCACCACCCCACAAATCCACACGCACGAGACGGGTCTCCGTAGCGCCACTCGTGGGAGTCACTACCTGAAATTGAACTTATGCCACGCTCAACTGCGATTCGCAGGGTCGTTTGAATGAAGCAACTTCTTTTGATTTTTGATACCTGTTGGTTGGCAACTGCCATGTTCTCAGGCATGCAGAAAGTGTCTCGGGATTGTCTTAGGCCCTGAGATGGAAAAACGTCACAAGCTCATCGTCTCGTGCCCCTGTAGCTGTACATACTGTGTGGGTCTCAGGTTTTGCCACCTTTGATGGGGCAACCATCAGGGAACCATGTGGACGCATGTGGAGCAAAAGAACACAAGAGCCGTGGATAAGCATAAATAAATAGTGTATATACATTGTATGTCTGTCTATCTGTATGGATGTATGATGATGTATGCATGCATGCGTATGTGTGTGTGTGTATGTCCTCTATGTGAATGTCACAAATGATCGGCATGTTCAGGCTGCGTCGGCCTTTTTGGTCCCATCGATCCGTGCCTTGTCCAACACGATGCCCATGACAATGGTCGTCGCACCCAGGTACTGCAAAACATGATACTGCTTCCGCAGAAGGATCACCTGAGTGTCCCCCCCAACTTAAACGACGTTAAACGACGTTAAACGACGTTAAACGGTGGGTGTCCCCTTGGTTTTAGCCAGCTTTCCGAAAGGCATGCCACGCCTTCAAATGTGCCATCGATCCATTGGACGCAACGACCGATTCTCGTTGCGGGAATCGACCGATGTGGCAACCGACGTGTCACCTTTGGTGAATGAAGGGCCCTTCGACGTGTGGACAGAAATAGCCATCCAAGTCAGCGAAATACTCCGAAGAAAGAGTCGCCGAGGCCAAAGAATCGCCACAGAGTTGAACCGAAATTGTGAAGAGACAAACATTGGCATGGGTATGCACACGACAGCATGCTAAGGAACGATCTGCAGTCCGAGTGGAAGCATTAGCTTCATGTGCAAAGATGCAACCATCCTGGCAGGTAAAAACCAACCTCATTCAATCAACCGGAAGGCCTCCCCAAAAAGGATAACACCCCGTCTCGCCAGTTCAGGTCCCGCGATCTCTCAGCTCTGGACTGACAGGAGCATAGTCACTGGGATCACTGCCTGGACCAGTTCGGGTTTCGGAAACATCTGCAGCCTCCCCATTCAGTTTCTGGGCAGTCAATCCCAATGCGACCGCACATCATATCAAGTGTTGAGCCAAGCACGGTGCAAACCCTGCAAAAGAAGTGGTGAGACCTACTGAAATTCAGGTTGAACATGTGTTTTGAGCTGCTCACGAAGGTTGGGCTGGCAATGCCCGAGACAAATGAAAGCGAGAACTTGCAACTGACTGCCTTCACATCCACCAAAACAGAATCTCTCCTGGCGTTCCCACCTGGAAAACCCAAAGCCCTGAAAGCATGAGCATTGCCATGCATACATGGAGCTTTTGCGTGATCTTGATGTGGGTGTTGTGCTACGTACCATTTTCCTTCACAAGCGAGGTGTTGTCCTGCACTGGCCCAGTTTCTGACACTATGCCCCAACAAAACGATGCAACAACGGAACAACCCTCAGCCGTTTAGTCGAATAGGTGAACGACGTTCCTTTCGCAGCAGGTGTTGGCCCCGGGCAGGCGGGAAGCTTGATAACTGTGGTTCTTGTTCTTCATCTTTGTGACTGATCTTGTTGGTTCCTGTTTTGAATCTGTCTTCTTAGGTGGTTCCTGTAAATTGTCCCTTTTTCGCTTGAAATGGTGTTCAATCTGCCACTTGTCAACCCCTTGTACCCACACACACATCCGTCTGATCATCTCTGCGGTCCAGCCTGGCCCATCAGAACTTGTAAGGTCCCCGAGGTATGGACACCACCCAAGACCTAAGCAGACACGCAGTGACACGCATGACACGGTGGAACGGTTGATTCTCAGCCTCAAAGGTGAACTTGGGACGGCCGTAGGCTCCAAGTCTTGGCTCCAGCCCGGGTAAGCATGGGCCAGGCCGCGTGCATACCACCAGCGAAGAGCAAGTCCAGTCGTTACAAACGGAAATCAACCACACCGTTTCCGAAGGCCACCTCTCTCAACTCCCGCAAATGTTTGTAAGACTTCAGGAGGTGCATGAAGCATTTGTCATGCCCATGCTAGCGGTCCCGCTAGACTTGTGTGGTGTTCAACATGTACTTTGATGAAATCGGCCGCCGTTTCAGTGATTGTCCTTCGTGTTCTCTTTTGACATGCATGATGCATTGCTTTTTGCAGAACGTTGTGCTCTGAAGGCGGGAGTTCCAAGTAAAAATGATCGTTGCAGAAACCTGCATTGTGAAAAACTCGAACGGCATGGTTTGTGTCATTTGATGGTCGAAGTACATTCAACAATGAGATGGTTTGTACATGTTTGTACCGTGTGTGCAGGTGTGTCCATCCGCCCGTCTGGCGACCCAGCTTTTTCTCAGGCCTCTTTGCAAAGATGTCCAAGCTTTGCCCTCCCTCCACCAAACAAATTCATCAGTCACTTCATCGAAACGTGTTGGTCAACAACTTCATAAATGCACAGTCGAGTGAAAAATGCTTGAATTCCATGGGACTGCGTTCGGGGCGTTTAGCAAAAACAAGGAAACTTAGGAACAGAAAGGCAAGGCCCCAAGTATAACGTTTGTCTGTTCTTCCGAAGGTAAATATACATGTGTGCGGTGTATATTGTAGAATATTGTACGTATATGTATGTTTGCATTGCGGATTCTTTAACGGTGTGTTTGACGTGCACCAAAACCCCACAACCTCAACGTGCTTGCTTCTAGGAATCCAGCTTCACCTTGGCTCAGCTTTTGGTCTGTGAAGAGAAGGAGTGCTCCTGACTCGCCTCCCCTGACTACGGCATAGGGTCATTGAATCTTGGGGCTGTATTAATGAAGCACCACGTCCATTGCAGGTGTGTGTGTGTGTGTGTCTTCATTTTGCGTTGCCAGAAGTCAACACAGCCATGTTGTGAAAGGGTCGGGGTTTAGGTCTACCCCCTTGAACCCTCATCAAATCACGCTTTTGGAGGCTACCCGGCGACAGTTGGCACCAGGGTCCACTGCCAAGAGGCCATCAATGTTCCAGAGAGGCCGTCGAAGACGCCCATCATGGCAAACTTGCGTACCTCGGCTGCTGAGACAAACAGATTAGGGCACACATGACATGTCCAGAATGTACACCGAAACGGGTGCCCAAAGCAGCTGGAACAAACGAGCTTCTCTGAATGTTCTCGGAACAAGCATGGCTTTGCTTCGACAGGCCAGGAGAGGAGCAACTTCAAAGGACCACAGGCACAAGTAAAGGACTAGGGAGGTGATCCCCAAAAGTTTGTCAGTGCTCTTTGCTCATCCGCGTGGCTTGAGGATCTCAGATCCGGAAAGTTCTGCTAACACCATGCGAGAAGGACGTCCGGAGCACACACCTAGATCCTCAAAAGCAGCCTGGGTGGTTTACCTGAGTCTTTCTCACTTGTCACTTCTCTGTACTTCTCTGCAACGTGTGGCCTGACCATAGTGAACTTCACACAACTGAACGCACGTGCACCCCCTGCACAACCCCTTCTCGGCTTGGCACCAGGGTGTAGTCAACCTGGCTCAAGTTAGGCACCGAGCTGATCCTATCTCCACAAGCACAATCCACACGCCTGCTGTGTCTCCCAGGTCCGCACGCCTGCTGTGTGATGCTGGTACCCGCCATCAACGCAAAGAAGGGCACGTAGATCGTGGTCGACAACTGGGTGAGATACCAGCCTCACGTCAATCAGTTTGGTGCTCGCTCATGTGAATTCCACGCTTCCCTCCTTGAAACAATTGCCCTTTCTCAATCGGTTGCCTTCTTCATTTCAGCACTAAATGGTCGGTGTGTGATGCTCATAATGCATCGGGTCACTTGATGCATCAACGGCATTTTGTTACAAGCAACAAGGACAAGCAAAATGGTGCTGAGCAAAAAGCCATAGTTGGGCATCGCATTCGTCATGCGCTTAAAAAACACCTTTGGTGCGCAAACTGCTTGGGGAAAAGACT